CCAGGTAAGAGTGTGCGCCTGGCCGATTGGATTGGTACTGACCGACGTCGCCGGCGAAGCGAGGGTCCGGCTGACCGCTGCTCGCGTACTGTCGATCACCATGGTAAACGGCCTCCCCCGGGATGTTCTGTCGCCCGTCCACGTATGCACTGTCGGCGACGTAACGCGGGTCAATGAAGGGCCCTCCCCTCGGCCTCACCGAGCTCTGGTGGCCGGGCGGCTGATGCTGAAGCTGGGTGGAGTATGCGGCGATCGCCTGCTGCTGATGTTGCTGCTGCTGCTGTTGCTGCATTGGCGGCCGAGCCACTTCCCTTGGCGGCTCGCCCTGGTAGCGCAGTGCCTCATAGCCGTAGGTGATGGAGTTACGGCGGCCCCTCCGCCGGGGGTCGTCGAACATGGGCTCCGCGTCCCAGCGCTCCTCCGCCAGGCCCAGCGCGTCCCAGCTCTGGGACCGGCCGAGGTATTGCCGCTGAGCCACGGGAATCGACATCTCCCGACTTCGACTTGATACTCAACCAGACAGTGCAGGAAGTAGTGCTGTGGTGCCACCCCAGACCTTGAGTTTGCCGAAGCTCACCTGTGGCAGCTGTAGTTCACCTGTGCCGGCTGTCTTCATGAACAAGAGTGGCTGCACGGATGCCGGCTCGCTCTGCGTCTCGCAGTGTTGTTTATATTTAAAGGACACCGGTGTTCACTTAAAGATTACTGCAACCGCAGCCTCGAAGGGTTATATTAAATGGCTTCCAATGACAATGCTTTCAATAGTAACAGACTGAAATGAACAGCAAACGTTTATAACATTGGCACACTAGCGGTAGCGGCGCTGGGCTTGCAGTCGCTGATGCCGGTGGCGAAGAGGGAGAAGCTTGTCACTTGGGAGCAGCGTCGGCTCTGCTCTGCGTCGTTGTTCGGCAAATCGCTCACGCGGGTGAGCAGTCGAACGCTCGCTCTGTGTCTCCGATGCCTTTAAGGGCCACACTGCTCGCACGGTGCCTGGCGTGTAATCACACCCGATTATCTCATGCGTCCTCCCTTTGGCGGTGAAAAAAACGAGCGCACACAACACCACTTGCGTCGCCCCACGCTCGTAGGATGAACCGTTAAATTATTAAAGCGCCTTCTCAGATGACGGTCTCATCGGAGGAGCAGAGTTTAGCGACTTTCCACGCCACGGCTGCGGGGGACCACCGGGACAGAACCGACGCTCACGTCGGGAGACGGCAGAGATTACCGACGATGGGAAGCGGAAAAAAATCCAGTTGCACTCTACAGCAGGTGGTTTACAATTAAATACGATCGGCGACAGCCTCGCACCAAAACACAGCAGCGCCGGTGCAGTGCACGAACAAGATAATGGACACGAACGCCGCAGCCAAGATCGGCAGGAAACCACACAGCCAGGATCAGCAGCCGGGCAGACCGCTAGGCAGAAGCAGCACGCGAGAGGATCACTCGTACTTCCGTTTAGCAAAGCAGAGCGGCCCAGCGACAGCAGGTCACCTGACAGGCTTAGGTCCATCAGCATCAGCGAAATCCAAATCCCGTTCAACGTCACTCTAATCCAGCAATGAAAAATTAAAGCCCAGCGCAGCAAGACCTCCCCCTTCGCGACCCCCTCCCCTCCCCCGTGCGAGCACACGGCTTCAGGTAACGTGCGGCGCGCATCTCGTTACTGGGGGGCCGGCCGCACCTGGGGGCGCCGCTCGCTCCGGCGAACTCCAAAAGAGCTCGTCACCACTGACGCAACGTTTAGCGGCGGCGCCGTTGACGACGCAATGCCGATTACTGGCGCTCGACGCGGGCGGTCGTGTCGAGCGCCCAATCTGCTTACCCAGTTGCGGCGCAGGCAAATCCTTGGCGAGCGAGACGGTTTAATCCGAATCCCACTGTACCATGGCTTCACATGACGAGCATAGTGGTGACACAGAGAATTTCAAATTTCAAATGAATGACTTGAAAGCAATTTTTAGGGGAATAGCGATGATTGCCTTTTGTGAAATGAAATGCGATAACCGCGGCCTTCCTTTCATGTCGCCTCTCCAAGCGCACTTACCACTACTTGCTCCACGGTAACGAGACCCTTTTTAATAACAATAATTCATTATTAACGAGGTGCACATAAAACTCCGCGTGGCATCGGCAGGTCGTACGAGAGCCACCTCTCAGTGTGGACTGGTCATCCGAGCCGATCCACACTGCGCACCGCACCCTATCTACATAAAATTACAATTGTCATTGAATCCCAAAAGTCACGAACACAACAATCCACACAGGGTCTTTATGCCACACCACCTGATTGAGAAACCTTCCTCCCGATCCCTGCAGAATCCTAAATCAAGTGAAATCCGATACGCGTGATCCGCATTAAATATGGAGCTCTGATCTGCACGTTCTACTCATCTGAGGACTCTTTTACTCATCCTGATCCACACGAAATTCCAACAATAACCGAATCCAGATCCGTAACGCTTGCCGTTTTGATTCCCAAATGGCTCGTGGAAAGAGTCTGGATTTGTGCCGCTTGCCATTTTACAAGTAAAAAAAAGTTGCTTCAGAATTAATGTGTTGAAACGGCGCTTCAGTTAATGAGGCAGTATGGGTAAAATACAGCTGTTGCATCTCGTTAGGCCTTAAACACTATTTCACCAGTGGCAGCTTCATTTTCACCAAGCGCTGCGACACCCACACGCATGTTAACGAGCAGGGAATTCACGCTCTCTCTTTCTCTTTTAGGTATTGAAATGTTCAATTTTGGAGTCTGATAGAAAGTCTTAGGAGCTCTGGGACGCAGGGGAATCGCCCTGGGAGAGGCTCTAAGACTTCGCAAGGCCGCTAAGCGCAGCGGCGGAACCCCAAGCGGTCTCGGGGAATGAGAGCAGAGCCGGACAAATGGATGGGCCACCCACACACAGCATGCCCGAGTTGAAGTCTCAGGTCCCAGTTGTAAGGGCAACCCTCGTATTACCCGGTTGGGACACACACAGCAACATCGCCCCTCAGAAACACAGTGCTTAACAGATCCACATGGAAGAGGGTTGAGACACAGTGAGACTTTCCTGAGTTAATAAATACTGGATATGCATGAATGTTGAACTTCTTTCGCACAGTACGTAGCCAACCCGTGCTAATCGGTAGTGTGCATTCAGGATCGGCTCCTTCACGGGGAAAAGCAACAGGTCCCAATCATCGCAGCCGTTGCATTTGATATGGAAAGTGCATCAAGAGTAACCCCCCCTTCCCCAACTAGCCCCCCCACCCCCGGCACCCCCCACTCTCACCGCAGGCACGCAAAAGCTTGGTGCAGTGGTTAGCAGCACTCCACTGTCCCCGCGATCCGGATTACAGCTCTGCTATTTATTGCACAGGGATTACGGCGCCAAAAAAACGTTGGCCCGTTCCGCGGGTTCCATCCTGTGCACGCGTGCGTGCAACGCACGCGTGCACGTTACACGCACACGGTCCCTGGAGGATACTTTGTCAGCTCCCAAGACCCTTCCGCCACCTCTCTGCTACCCCCTTTAACCCTCTCTCCCTCGAGACGGCCCACTCACCGCGTGCGCCGAATCATCGGCAACCCTCGCCAACCAAGCGCGTCTCGGCAAGGATGGCGGCACGGAGGGGTGGCCACACAGGAGGACGTTACACAAGCGCCGAGTCTAAACCTCTCACGCCACGAGGTCCAAGTGCAACCCCAATCCGGACGTGCGACACCACACCTGGGGCGGTTGAGGATTACTGGCCAGCTCTCGGGACCGCGGCAAAATCTAAACACAATTTAGTGCAGTTATCGAAATGCCCCCTCCCATCCCCACCTCACAAGGGCGAAACACGAGTCCCACGGGCATTCATCTGCCGGGGGATACGTTACCCTCGCTCCGCAAATTAAGGGGGGCTGCCCTGTCAAGGGGAAAGCCACCAAACACGCGACGGGGCACTGGACAGCCAAATGGGAAGCTCTGTGTGTTAACCACCAAAACAGGAAGAATAAATATGCAGACATTACATGTCCTCCACATACCGGTCCCTCCACATGAAAATCAACAATACATGTTTTACACATACCATCAGCCAAACGTTCTTCTGAGAGTACATAATTTCAGCAATAATGGTCCAATACAAACAAATTCTCTCAACATTTCGCATCTCATCAGGATAGACAGGTGCGATCAACCAGGCAGGTGGAACATTTTATCGAACAGACGGGGTTTAATTTCAGCCGGGTCCGAGTCAGCAATCTAGAAAATATTTTTGTTACCCGGCACACACCATACCTCTTCACTACTTCAGCCTACCAGCAACCCAACATTGTTTGAGAAATTAAGTCCTGGGTGTGAGACCACATGAGCTGCTTGTCTCCATCGCGAATGCAACTGCGGAACACGGGTGAATCTACCGTGTCCCATGTCTGCACCGCACGGCTTCAGCAGCTGTCCCGCATCAGAATGCACACCGAGCCACGTGCTGGTGAGTGCGGTTTCAACATGGTCTCGCAGCGCCTCCGAGACCCCATTCCACACACGCGTTTCCCTTGCCCGAGTCATGCACAAAGTTAGAACATTTAAAAGCTAAATATTTTCAAACTGGAACTAAATAATGAATTTCACAAAAGCTCTGAGAAACTGGGACCTTTCTGAAATTGTAACTGTTCCGGCCTTACACACACCCCATCAAACCCCGCATGTCCCATCCTATACACAACCCATCAAACTCCGCATGTCCCATCCTATACATTACACACACACACCACCACCCTGCACGTCCCATCCTACACGCTTTACACACCCCCATACATTGTATTCTACACACCACACACCCCCATCACCAACCCGTACATCACAACCTACACACCACACACCCCATCACCACCCCGCACATCCCATCCTACATGCTACACACATCCCCACCATCTCACATGCAACACATCCCGTGCCACACTTTTAATGTAACATTTCACATGTGGGACGGACACCAGGACGCGCGTGTGGAGGGAGTGCGGTCACCTTCACAGATTCTGTCGAGACGCTGGCGCTTCACTTTATGTTTGTCCATGAAGGCCGGGTGAGGCCGGGCACGGGGGTCACCAGGGGTCACCAGGTATCACCAGGGGTCAGCAGGGGTCGCCGAATCCGTGCTCCTCACAGTGATGGCGGGCCGAGACAACCCACGTCCAAGGCGTCGCAAAATCCTGCACAGAGAACACGAGCATGACTCACCAGCTAGGCCAGCGCCACCTAGCCTCACACAGCCAGCCTGGCACCAGCCCATATTCAACACAACACGCACACGTTCAACCGCTAAGGTGGCTCTCATACGGACAGACTGGCCCCTGTCATGGAAATGTGGAATTTCACCACTGCAGGTGTTCGGCTTTAGTGTCACAAGAGATGGGACATGAACGGCATTGGTGCGCACCGCACGAGGCGGGGTAAATGCAGTCTAAAAGTACTGTAAGTGTATGTTTACAGTCTGTTCTCACGTAACGCAGTAGTTGTGTTTCTGAAGAACAGCGCGTTATGAGAAAGTTGCGTTATAATATGTAAAGCACAGTCCGCGATAACGCGTGAGTTGTGTATGCAGGCTGAACTAAGACCGAGGCGCATGGGTAGCATCTAGAAGGATCCAGCAGCATCCTGCCTTGCGTGATGCATTGCCAAGGCAGCCGTACAACCGCTAATTCCTGCTCACGCGACGGAGTTCCGTTCGCTCAGTCGCGTTATATCCAGTTCGCATCCATGTTATAAAAAATGCGTTCCCTGATACATTCATTGCGTTATAGCCAATTCGTGCTATGAACACACGTAGCATCAGGTTATAGGAATAGGTTTTACCCTTTTAACTGGCACAAAAACTGACACCTTTATTCAAGGCATCATGTTTGCAATAACCACAACACAAGCAGTCAAAATGCAAACAAAAAAGACAACTCTGATAATAATATGCACTGTCCTTGAATTTGATTGGTCCACACCCGAGACAGCTTTTCTTAGAGCCTAGTCTCCATTGGTGTTGGACCAGAAGACGCCAAAAGGCGTACAACACGTAGCATCATAGAACACTGTACTGTATACAGAAGGTAGTGAGGTGCAGCTCAGGCACACCACCTCGCAGGGGCAGCAGGGGGCAGCACGGGGAGGCAGGGGAAGCAGCGAGGTCTTACGCCAGTCTCAGCTGCAGCAGCACCATCTGCTGTTTGACAAACAGTTCTAAACGGCATCAATACCCAAACACCAGGCCACCAGATTTACCGCACGCACTACCAAACCAATCGCGCTACCAAGCCACCAGCACTACCACACGCACTACCAAGCCACCAGCACTACCACACGCGCTACCAAACCACCAGCACTACCACACGCACTACCAAACCACCAGCACTACCACACGCGCTACCAAACAACCAGCACTACCACACACACTACCAAACCACCAGCACTACCACACGCACTACCAAGGCATCAGCACTACCACACGCGCTACCAAGGCATCAGTACTACCACACGCGCTACCAAGGCATCAGTACTACCACACGCGCTACCAAACCAAACGCGCTACCACACGCACTCCCAAACCAGCACTACCACACGCACTACCAAGCCACCAGTACTACCACACGTACTGCCAAACCACCAGCACTACCACACGCACTCCCAAGCCACCAGCACTACCACACGGACTACCAAGCCACCAGCACTACCACACGCACTACCAAGCCACCAGCACTACCACACGCAATACCAAACCACCAGCACTACCACACGCACTACCACACCACCAGCACTACCACACGCACTACCCAGCGACCAGCACTACCACACGCACTACCAAACCAGTCATACTACCACACGCGCTACCAAGCCACCAGCACTACCACACGGACTATCAAACCACCAGCACTACCACTCGCTCTACCAAACCACCAGCACTACCACACGCGCTCCCAAGCCACCAGCACTACCACACGCGCTCCCAAGCCACCAGCACTACCACACGCACTACCCAGCCACCAGCACTACCACACGCACTACCAAGGCACCAGCACTACCACACGCGCTACCAAGCCACCAGCACTACCACACGCACTACCAAGGCACCAGCACTACCACACGCACTACCAAGGCACCAGCACTACCACACGCGCTACCAAGCCACCAGCACTACCACACGCGCTATCAAGCCACCAGCACTACCACACGCGCTATCAATCCACCAGCACTACCACACGCACTACCAAACCACCAGAACTACCACACGCACTACCAAACCACCAGCACTACCACTCAGTACCAAACCATCAGCACTACCACACGCACTACCAAGCCACCAGCACTACCACACGCACTACCAAACCACCAGCACTACCACACGCACTACCCAGCCACCAGCACTACCACACGCACTACCAAACCACCAGCACTACCACACGCGCTATCAAGCCACCAGCACTACCACACGCACTACCAAGCCACCAGAACTACCACACGCACTACCAAGCCACCAGCACTACCACACGCACTACCAAACGCACTACCAAACTACCAGCACTACCACACGCGCTACCAAACCACCAGCACTACCACACGCGCTACCAAACCACCAGCACTACCACACGCACTACCAAACCACCAGCACTACCACACGCACTACCCAGCCACCAGCACTACCACACGCGCTACCAAACCACCAGCACTACCACACGCGCTACCCAGCCACCAGCACTATCACACACACTACCAAACCACCAGCACTACCACACGCACTACCCAGCCACCAGCACTACCACACGCGCTACCAAACCACCAGCACTGCCACACACACTACCCAGTCACCAGCACTACCACACGCACTACCAAACCACCAGCACTACCACACACACTACCAAACCACCAGCATTACCACACACACTACCAAGGCATCAGCACTACCACACGCACTACCAAACCACCAGAACTACCACACGCACTACCAAACCACCAGCACTACCACACGCGCTACCAAACCACCAGCACTACCACACGCGCTATCAAGCCACCAGCACTACTACACGCGCTACCAAACCAAACGCGCTACCACACGCACTCCCAAACCACCAGCACTATCACGAGCACTATCACACGCACTGCCACGAGCACTATCACACGCACCACCAAACCACCAGCACTACCATATGCACTACCAAGTCACCAGCACTACCACACGCACTACCCAATCACCAGCACTACCACGAGCACTATCACACGCACTGCCACGAGCACTATCACACGCATTGTCAAGCCACCAACTATTACGACCACACACACCACCAGAAGTTACTCGCCGATTTCCCTTTCGCAAAAACAACAAAAACCTCGCATGACCCCTCACCCCTCCTACAAAGATTCCCCGTGTGCCTTAACAGACTGTTGGGGCAAGTGCTGTTAGCGAGCACCTCAGAAGGCCGGCACGGGACGCGCCCGGCCGCCTTTGTCTCCCTAATGGCAATATTTACACACCGAACCAGGTACTGTTTTGAGGCCGAGTCGACCTAGGGAGGCCCAGGAACGGTTCAGCTAATCGTCACTGGTGTTGGCTGTGATCGGGAATCGAACTCGGGGTGCCGGGTTCATAGCGCAGTGCGCTAACCGCTACATTCACACCTGAACACACAACCACACTCAGAATCCACACACAACCACACTCAGAATCCACACACAACCACTCAGAATCCACACACAAAACCGCTCAATACAACCACCGCCATTCACCACTACGTAGCGGTGACGTCACAACGGCGCTTGTGCCAGGCCAGGTGCACTCTGAGGCCACGTGATGTGTTGAAGGCTCGCTGACAGGAGGTCAAAGGACAGACCCAGGTGCCGTCAGTTGACTGGGATGATTGGCAGATGTACACCACAACACCAAATCAGATCTACACATGGAGTCAGAATTCACACACACGCTCCCCAACACACACAGAAGACAAACTTCCCCCGTATAGCCTTACTAGACACGTGGGGCAAGTGCTATTAGCGAGTAGCACCTACGAAGGCCGGCGTGGCTCACGAGGTGGGTGGTCAGCACCACACTGACCGCCTTTATCTCCCCAGTAACAATGTTTACACACCGCACCAGGTTCTCATTTGAGGCCGATTCGACCTAGGGGAGGCCCACAACCGGTTCAGATAATCGTCACTGGTATTGGCCGTGAACCGGAATAGAACTTCGGTTGCCTCTGACAATTGTATTGCACATTACATACCAGAATCACAATTTGCGTATACATTGCCAAATACAAAACACATCAATACACTATCACACGCATAATGACACGGAATAATTACAGGGACACACACATATGCAATCTTACATAGCCACACACGCGTTCACGCAATGACACACATGCACGAACCGCTATTTACCCCCCTTTTAGCCTTTGCAGCAGCCTATTGGAAAGTTGCTATTAGCGAGCACCTATTAAAGCTGCCTTTTGATATTTAACCACCTTACCAGAAGTAAGAGTACAGTATTTAAGGCTGAGTCGGGCCAGGAGAAGCCCAGTACCGGCTCAGGTTATCAGCCGTCACTGATGTTAGCCGCGACCCTGATCGAACTCGTGGCCGCGGTTCCCAGCCGCGCGAATCGCTGCGCCACCGCTCCACTCGGTACACAAAGATGCTCCCCCCCCCCCCCCCGTATGGCCTGTACATACTATTGGGGGGTAAATACTATTGGGGGTCAGTGCTTTTGACGAGCAGCGTCTAGTAAGGCCGGTACGGCACACAGTGGTGGTGTGGCCAGAACCACGGCCGGCCGGCCGCCTTTGTCTCCCAAGCGGCGATGCACTACTGTATTACAACCATCGCGCATCGGGTACTCATAACAAGGCTCAGTCGAACGAGAAAGGAGACGCGGGACCGGTTCGGATATTCGTCACCGGTGTTGGTGGCTGTGAGCGGGAATCAAACTCGGGTCGCCGCCGAGGTTTGAAGGAGCGGCAGAGGCAGCGCTCACCGCTACGCCATCGCTCCCCCCCCAACACGCGCGCCGTCCACAGTCACTCGCACGCATCCCCTACCTAGAGAGAGATCCGCGTGCCAGCAGCAACGGCAGCAGCAGCAGCAGCAATTACAGCGCGGATCACAACAAGACGACGACGGCGGCTGCGGCTGCATTGTTTAAACGACGCGGGCCCCGATTGCAAAACCCACGCCGCCCGGCCGTGTTTACCTACACGGAGGAGGAGCAGGGAGCGCGGGGCGGAGAGCGGGGGCAGGGGGGGTGGTTGGTGCTGGTGCTGCTGGTGGTGGGCCGCGCGCGAGCGAGAGAGGAGGGGAGAAGATAGATGGTGGCAGAGCGGGCGAAGAGAGCGAGACGAGGAGGAGGGGGAAGAGCGGCTGCGTCGCGCACGGCGATGCTGCTGCTTCTTTGTGAGCGCGGCGGAGCGCGAGGGAGGGCGGAGAGAGCGGGGGGAGGTGCACGAGGGGGAGATCGGCGCACGCGGGAGTCGATGGCGGGCGAAGGGGAGGGGGGGAATCCGAGAAAAAATCTGGGGGAGGGTCCCCTCGCTAGAAGTGGGGTGGTGGTGTTGGGGGGGGGTACCCCAACCACACCACCACACCCAGGGCCCTGGGCGCGGGGCCGGGTTTCGGGGCGAGACACAAAGACGGCACTTGTCGTTGACCCCCGCTCGCTCAAATCTCTTCTCTCCATCTCCTCTCTCGAGCGGCGCTCGCGAGCTCTGATAAGCTTTGTAATTCTGCTTTGCGGCCCATTAAACAAACAATACAGCCGGAGAAAGTAAACAGCACGGACCTGGCCTCCAAAGCTCCCACCAACACCTACATGACCACAGGAGCTCGCGGCGGTCCGCGGGTGTCACCGTGACATTTCTCGAAGGGGGAACCACCCTGGCACTGTGGTGTCACGGCCCCCACTGGGCCCCATGTCTCTGGTACTGCCCCCGCCCCGTCTTCAGCGAAAGCGCTTTCGAGTGCCACGCCGTGGCCTCTCGTTTCTGCAGGTGGTAGCCCCCCACCACCACCGACGTCCGTGACATCCAGAGGGACACAGCCACACAGCTATCAGAGCGGGTGAGGGATGGGACACCCGATGGTGAGGTGCGAGGGAAGACCGGGCAGCTTCTCGTCCCCTGTGTTTCTCTCCCTGCTCGGTCAATCTCAAAAGGGGCTCACGTGCAGGGAAGCCAGGCGCGGGCCTGCGCTTTTCGGCTATAAATACGGGCGGGTCCATTGTCTGCACGCTGCAGTTAATTGGATGGGGTCTTAATTCGCCACCCAATGTCTCCGCCATGAGCGCCGCGTTTCCCGCTCTCCGAGACGCAACAGCTCGGCACGGCGGAAATGTGGAAGCGGAGAGAGACCTCGACGCCCCGGATACCACAGCAAGCAGCTGCAGCTTGGCAGATACCATCTGCCGTGGCAGGAGCTGAGAGAGGGAAGAGATTGGGAGGAGAGTGAAGGGATGAGAAGAGTGGAGGGAGAGTAAAACGGTAGCATTAGCTCTAAGGGAGAGGCAGGAGGAAGGAAAGGTTGAGGCCTCGGGAGAGTTGAGGCCTCAGGAGGGACTCGCAGAGCATAGATTGTGGCGCGGGGGGGGGGCAGTGGCGAAAGGCGCCCCCTACGACCCACATCTTCCCCTGCACGGGAGGCGTGGGGCTTATCTCGCCATGGCACCCGTGCCTCCATCCCTACCACAATCGCCACCACCACCACCATCGGCAACGCGCGGCGCGGCCTCCAACGTGGGCGCCATTGAGACCGCATCTGCAGGCGCGCATCCTGCAGCCCGGGTTTCCTCCTCGCCGCTCGTTCACAGACTCGCACAACACGGGTCAACGGCGGTATAGGCCGTTGTCAACCCACTGCTGGAAGAAGGGCCTCCTCAAGCCGTACTGATCATGGAGTTCCTTGACGATACTTCACCACGCTGATCAGTGCAGGTATACAGGATGAACCGGGTCATATTATTGTTTCCACCATCAAGTGAGAGGCTGATTGTGTCAATCGCTCATTCTCCCAGCCAGCGCCCACCCACACACGAGACGCCGTGCCACACCGCCACTGTACGCGTCAACTTCTCAGGTCACGCCATGCCATCGCTTCCTTCCGTAGAAGTCGCTTTGGCAACGCCCCCCCCCCCTCCGGGGTCAGCGGGGTCAGGGTGCACGCCTCCACCCCTGAGGAGACGGAAGGGCCACCCACCCCGACGTGGACAGCCACGTCCAGCCCCACCATGGCACCACCACGCAGGCAGCCCCACCGCCGCCGCCTCCGTTGCAGCGGCCGCGCGTCAGGGTTCTGGCTGCGACACGGACGCTGGCACCTGGCGCCATCACGCAACTCGCCGCACTCATGTCTCGCTCCTTGTACAAATTCCAAAAGCCTCGCGTTCACTGCCATTTTTACCTCCGGCCGGGGTCTCCCCGCCCCCATCCTTCCAACCTAGCCCTGCCTCCCGGCGACACAGAGCAAGGCCGGGAGGGGCCTCCGGGGCGGCCAAGGCAGCTGCGTTTCCATGGAGAGCTGGCGCTGAGCTAAGAGCAACATCCGGTGAAGTATGGTCGGGCTGAGCCGGGTCGGCCAGAGCCGTTATGCCAGGGACGCGAGTGGCGGAGGTGGAATCCGTTGCGCTGCCTCAACTTGGGCCCCCGGCGTGCAGCCGTCAGGCCCAGGTCTCCCTCGCGAGAGATTTGATGCGTAAATGGAAACTCCACCTGGTTACACATACAGTAAACGTACCTACGCACAACAATAATGAAGAGCCCTTTGTCAATCCACTGCTGGATGAAGGCCTCCGTTATACCGGGTCGGAACATGGTGGGTTGTTTGACCGTATTTCATAACGCTGGTCAGTGCGGTTTAGTGAAGGGGAAGAGTGGTTCAAATATCACTCGTTACGAATAGTCGCGGCCGAGAATGAAACTCAGGTCTCTGGGGTCAGAGCCCAGCGCTCTAACCATCGTGCCACCCCTCCACCTATATACCTACCTGCCAACAGTACGTACGTTTCTACCAGTTTATCCAAGCTGCCTGCCTAAATATCTACCTACCGACCTGCATACCAACTATGTGCTTTATATCTGCCGAGGTATAATGGTTAGCATAACTGGACTTGTAATCCAGAGGTCGCCGGTTCAACTCACTCTTCTGGCGTGGCATGTCAGTTGAAACAATGGGGCAAGTGTCTTGAACCACTGACCCCCACCACCCAGTCTGTACAAGCAGCAACGTAAATGCATTCACCAGTTAGTCGATCAGCAAGTCGTGTGTGGTGGGGCAAAGTATGGGTGCTTTCATCACTTCCAAGCCGTATGGCCAGCGTGTGAAAGAGTTCAGATGGACTAGCCTCTAGGGCGCCCTCTAGTGGAGGGCGATCCGCCAGCAGGCGAGTGAGCAAACACTTGCAGGGCTGAACCTTGGCCTATTTCTCGAGTGACCTACATTTCTAACCAGATACCCGAGTGACCCACTTATCTATCTCGCTGCCTGCTTGCCCAGTACCGACGCTCTCCCCTATCTCGTGTGCGTCCCCTGCTGATGGACACGACTCCGGGAGCGGCGACATCCACCAGTGTTTGTTGGCTGTGCCGGGCGGACCGTGTGTGGGGGGGGGGCTGCGACCATCACCCGCGGCCACGTGGCTCCCCCGCGGGTGGTGAGCACACGGGGGGGGGGGCACGAGGGAGACGGACACGTGGTGGGGAACATGGACATGAGACGCGGGTGTCTCAATCTTGCTACTGCTCTTCTCAGCTTTGTTGCGGTGGCCTGTGGCCTGTGTCCCCGCGTCCCTGTGTGACGGTGCGCGCCCCCCCCCCCCCCGCCGGCCCGTGACCCAAGTCCCCGTCTCTCTTTGCCCCTCTAACCCTATGTCCGGCTGTTCGCGTTCCTCCGTGTCCCCAAGTCTCACGTACCCGTGTCTCGACTATACCCGTGTCTCCGTGCCTCCGAGTCTCCCTACTATCCGCGTGTCCGCGTGTCCCTGTCCCCAAGGCTCCGTGTGTCCGAGTCTCCTTGTCCCTCTGACCCACACGTCGTCCTGTCTCCGTGCCACGCGTATATGTCCCCCCTGTCCCCGTATATGTCCCCCCTGTCCCCGTATATGTCCCCCTGTCCCCGTATATGTCCCCCTGTCCCCGTATATGTCCCCCTGTCCCCGTGTATGTCCCCCTGTCCCCGTATATGTCCCCCTGTCCCCGTAAATGTCCCCCTGTCCCCGTGTATGTCCCCGTGTATGTCCCCCCTGTCCCCGTATATGTCCCCCTGTCCCCGTATATGTCCCCCTGTCCCCGTATATATCCCCCTGTCCCCGCATATGTCCCCCTGTCCCCGTATATGTCCCCCTGTCCCCGTGTATGTCCCTCTGTCCCCGTCGTCCTGTTATTCCCGCGTCTCCGTGTACAGTACCTGGCGCCTCACCGCCTCCATTCAAAGACGGTCGCGCACAATGGACCGAGCTCGCTCCGCCCCCCCAACGGCAACCACGGGCAACTCCTCACCACTCGCTCACCACTCACCCCGCACCCACCACTCCCTCACCACTCACCCCGTCCTCACCACTCGCACCACCACCACTCACCCTCACGCAATGGCTGAGACGCGAGGCCAAATCCTCTCCCCCATGCGCCGCGTCCGGGCCGAGCGGGCGACGACGGCGACGACGGCAATTATTTTGATGTGGTGGGTGATGAGGGAGGCAGAAGCAGAAGACGTCGACGAGGAGGAGGGTGATGGAGGAGGAGGAGGAGGAGATGATGGAGGAGGAGGAGGTGGAGGAAGAGGAATCGGCTATGCCGCCGGGAGCGAATCCGGGCCGCGCGTGGGAGCGGCGCCTGGTGAGGGGGGTACAGTGCGGGCGGAGGGGCGCGCGCGCGCGCACTCTCACTGGCACCCAGATACACACACACATACATACACACATACACACATACATACACACATACATACACATACATACACATACACACATACACACACATACACATACATACACACATACATACAAATACACACAAATACACACTGTGAACCCAGATACACACACATACACACATACATACACACACTGAACCTACAAACACACACTGTGAACCCAGATACACACACACATACATACACTGTGAACCTACATACATACACACACTGTGAACCCAGATACACACACACACTGTGAACCCAGATACACACACACACTGTGAACCCAGACACACACACACACTGTGAACCCAGATACACACACTGTGAACCCAGATACACACACACTGTGAACCCAGATACACACACACACTGTGAACCCAGACACACACACACACTGTGAACCTAGATACACACACACTGTGAACCTAGATACACACACACACTGTGAACCCAGATACACACACTGTGAACCCAGATACACACACACACACTGTGAACCCAGACACACACACACACACTGTGAACCTAGATACACACACACACACTGTGAACCCAGACACATACACACACTGTGAACCCAGATACACACACACACTGTGAACCCAGATACACACACACTGTGAACCCAGATACACACACACACTGTGAACCTAGATACACACACACACACTGTGAACCCAGATACACACACTGTGAACCCAGATACACACACACACTGTGAACCCAGATACACATACACACTGTGAACCCAGATACACACTGTGAACCCAGATACACACATACACACACTGTGAACCCAGATACACACACACTGGCACCCAGACACACACACACTGTGAACCCAGATACACACACACACACACTGGGAACCCAGATACACACACACACACTGTGAACCCGGGTACACACACACACACACTGTGAACCCAGACACACACACACTGTGAACCCGGGTACACACACACACACTGTGAACCCAGATACACACACTGTGAACCCGGGTACACACACACACTGTGAACCCAGATACACACACACACTGTGAACCCAGACACGCACACACACACTGGCACCCACACACACACACTGTGAACCCGGATACACACACACACTGTGAACCCGGATACACACACACACACTGTGAACCCAGATACACACACACTGTGCACCTAGATACACACACACTGTGAACCCAGATACACACACACACTGTGAACCCAGACACACACACACTGTGAACCCAGATACACACACTGTGAACCCGGGTACACACACTGCCACCCAGACACACACACACTGTAAACCCGGGTACACACACACACACTGTGAACCCAGATACACACACACTGTGAACCCAGATACACATACACTGTGAATCCAGATACACACACACACTGTGAACCCAGATATACACACACACGCACTGTGAACCCAGATACACACACACTGTGACCCCAGATACACACACACACTGGCACCCAGATATACACACACACTGTGAACCCGGGTACACACACACACACTGTGAACCCAGACACACACTGAGAACCCGGGTACACACACTGGTACCCAGACACACACACTGTGAACCCAGATACACACACACTGTGAACCCAGATACACACACACACACTGTGAACCTAGATACACACACACTGTGAACCCAGATACACACACACTGTGCACCCAGATACACACACACACTGTGCACCCAGATACACACACTCTCACTGTGAACCCAGATACACACACTCTCACTGTGAACCCAGATACACACACACACTGTGAACCCAGATACACACACACACTGTGAACCCAGATACACACACACTGTGAACCCAGATATACACACACTGTGAACCCTGGTACACACACATTGGCACCCAGACACACACACTGTGAACCCAGATACACACACACTGTGAACCCAGATACACACACTCTCACTGTGAACCCAGATACACACTCTCACTGTGAACCCAGATACACACACACACACTGTGAACCCAGATACACACACACTGTGAACCCAGATACACACACACACTGGCACCCAGATATACACACACTGTGAACCCTGGTACACACACACTGGCACCCAGACACACACACTGTGAACCCGGGTACACACACACACAATGAACCCAGATACACACACACACACTGTGAACCCAGATACACACACACTGTGAACCCAGACACACACACACACTGTGAACCCAGATACACACACACTGTGAACCCAGATACACACACACTGTGAACCCAGACACACACACTGAGAACCCGGGTACACACACACTGGTACCCAGACACACACACTGTGAACCCAGATACACACACACTGTGAACCCAGATACACACACTCTCACTGTGAACCCAGATACACACACACTGTGAACCCAGATACACACACACACTCGCACCCAGATATACACACACTGTGAACCCTGGTACACACACACTGGCACCCAGACACACACACTGTGAACCCGGGTACACACACACACACAATGAACCCAGATACACACACACACACTGTGAACCCGGGTACACACACACACTGGCACCCAGACACACACACACGCACTGACACCCGGATATATACACACGCACTGACAGCCGGGTACAAACGCACTGGCACTCTGATACACGCACTGGCACCCAGATACACACACACACACACTAGCACGTGGGTACACACACGTACGCAGTGGCACCTGGATACACACACACATACTAGCACGTGGGTACACACACGCACGCAGTGGCACCTGGATACACACACACACACTAGCACGTGGGTACACACACGCACGCAGTGGCACCCGGATACACACACCAAACTAGCACGCGGGTACACACACGTACTGGCACCCGGATGCACGCACTGGCACCCAGATACACACACACACTAGCACGCGGGCACACGCATGCACGCACTGGAACCCAGATGCACACGTACACTAGCACGTGGGTACACACGTACTGACACCCGGATACACACACGGACTGGCACCTGGGAACACACAACAACCGACATTCGACACGAAGTGGAGATGACAAGACCCCGGCGCTTGTGCCAGGCTAGGTGGACGTGTCAAAGGCTCGCTGACAGGTCACGGAACAGACCCAGCTGCTATGGGTTGATTCACTGAAATGACTGTCAGATGCACCACCTGTGCTCCCCACTGTGCCAACTTGCTGAGATTCATCTGCACGGCGCTCCGCTCGTTGTGAGCGTCGCTCCTCTGCCCTCCGTTGTTGCTGGAGGGCGACTGCCTCCAACTGCTCAGTAGCTGCGCCCTTCACGAGCCTCCTCCTCCACAGAGGCCGATCTTCACTCCATGGGAACCAAAGTCTACTTAGCTTCCATTTAGGCTCCTCTATTCCGGCCAAACAGAAGCTGCTTGGGCATGCGGTGGCTGGGCATGCGGGCTACGTGACTCAGCCATGTAGCATGCGGGCTACATGACTCAACCAATGCAACTTCGCCGGCTGGAGGAGCTCGCTGATGGGACTGGTGTCCAGATCTTTCAAGACCTCGTTAAACCCAGGGATGGATCGTAGCCGGGGAAACCTGAATGCTTCAAATCGGTGCAGATGTTCCATGAGAGGAGGAGGGGTCAACGACGTTTCACAAGCGTAGGGAAATGAAGGGCATAACTGTGTCCGAGAAGACCCACTGACACACAAAGACAAAGATCCCAAGCATGGCCTTAACAGTGCTGTTAGCGAGTATCAATGAAAGCTGGAACGGCACACAAGGGGGTGGGTGGCCAGCACCACGCCCGGCCGCCTTTGTCTCCCCAGTGACGATATTTACACACCACACCAGGTACTCATTTGAGACTGGGTGGATCTAGGGGGGAGGCCCAGGACCGGTTCAGACGATGGTCACTGGATGTTGGACCGTGAGCGGGAATCGAACTCCGGTTTGTAGCGCGGCGCGCTGCACACAGTGGCGATGTTTACGCACCGCAGCAGGTTACTCATTAGAGGCTGGAGTCGACAGAGAGAGACCACGAGCACGCTGCTTCACCCGTGCCCGCACGGGGCCCCAGGAGGAGGAACAAAAGTCACTTTCTCCCCCCCGCTAACCCCCCCCCCCCCCCCCCCCCCCCCCCCCCCCCCCCCCCCCCCCCCCCCCCCCCCCCCCCCCCCCCCCCCCCCCCCGCTAACCCCCCCCCCCCCCCCCCGCTAACCCCCCCCCCCCCCGCTAACCCCCCCCCGCCTAACCCCCCCAACACCCCCCCCCGCTAAACCCCCCCCCAACCCGCTAACCCCCCCCCTACCCCCCCTACCCACACCCTCTCCTCTCTCTTCCCCCTCCCCCCACTTTTTCCATTCCCCCCCCAACCTCCCAAACGCCCCGCCCCTCTCCCTCAATCATCCCCCGGCGCCCCTCCCCCGCCTGTATCCATCTTGTTGCCCGCCCGCCGCCACCGCCGCCGCCGTTGCCGCCGCGGAACGGAAACTAAAAAGTTGACGCGGCTGGCGGTGGTGGTGTGGCCTGTGGGTGAGGGAGCCGGGGAGCCAGTGAGGAGGTGGAGGAGAGTTGGGACGGGGAGATGCGGGAGGCGGCCGTCGGACCCGCTACGGGCACGGCGTCGTCGTCGTGGACGCTGCCGCTGCTGCTGCTGCTGATGTTGTTGAGGTGGTTAGCAGGAGGCGAGCGGTGAGCGGAACATGGCGGGGCAGCACGACATCCGACTTGAGAGCGGCGGCATTCGTAGGGAATACTGAACGCCCAGCAGCTCTTCTCCCCACGGCACTCGCCACCCCGTGCGGGCCGCAGGGCCCCTCCTGGCCCCGCAAGGGTAGACGGCGGCGGCGGCGGCCCGGACCCTTAAAATGGCTCCAACGCCGCCCTCGGGCGTTCACCTCGCGGGTGGCTCCACAAAATGGTCGGCGGCCTCGGCCGTGGATGGGCGCAGACCGGGCTGCGGCGTCCTTGCAGACCGCGAGGCCTCCCAACCTCGCCGCGGTGGCGTGCGGCGACGGCGGTGTTCCACGTTTGAACGCGAGGTCGTGGAGGTGGAGTGGGGTGGGGGGGTGGTGACCACAACGACCGGACCCATTCCAACTCTGAACCAAGTCGTCATTTGGTCCTACCGAAACCAGGGCTGCAATTACGATTTTGAGCTCGAGGGTTCATTCCTCCCGTTGGCAGCGTGCACACACAGACTTGGTATGTACTAGATGGTGTGTGCACACTGTAGTCAGACATGATCAATCAACTGCTGGATGAAGGTTTCCCCAAACTTCCACCACTCAACAAACGGATGCGCTGTACAGTATACGAAAGTACTGTCAATATCTTGTTACGCTTGTGGTTTTAATAAAATTCAAACCGCTAACAGTTTAAATTCATTGGTTGGTGTTGTGGAGCTGAGAATTGCCTATCTGATTGCAAAGTCACAGGTCACTGCACGTGAGTTATTCCCCGGACTTGAGGCTGCCCCAGGCTCTGCCGCCGCGGAACCCCAATGCAGCAAGCTCCCTGATTGTCCCCCCACTTCGCCCGAGGTCGGGTGCCCTCACCACCTGGCCCCCTGGGTGCTGCCCTTGTGGTTTCCCGATGCCGGATCGAGTTGGGATGGAATTAGATGCCTTCCGCGCTGCGTGGGCAGCGGCGCTGAATCACGGCTGCAGTGCAATCAGTCACCAATCACGCACCCATGGCAGAGAACATTTTAAAAACCCACAATCTACCATGCCGGTAATGACAATCGTAATCGTGTCACGTATCTGTAAAACTGTTCACTGCTGTTTGTGAAGGGCCCTGGTTTCTGATGGCATATGGTTCTTACAAAGGGCCCCAGAGGGTAGAATGGGGCACCGAGGAATTTTGGAGTAACGCCCCGGGGCCGTTTCGAGGGCCCATTGTGGCCCTCAATGGCCCTGCGCGGCTCAAGCAAAAAGAGTCGAAAGGCAACACGTACAGTATGAACCTTAATGGGGTGTAACTTCACACCAAAATGTAAAAAAAAGTGGCTAAAAGTTAGAGCTGATCAAATTAGGATTCATTTTACGAATTATCACTAATGACCACGATTATATCACTTTGTCACGGAGTTGTGGCCGAATGCATACAACTTGAAATTGGCGACGACTCTTTATAAAACGTCAGGGAATAATTCATTACTCACAGGCATTGTACTTTTTAAAAAAATGTATGCGGCGTTCCGACAACGATTTTAAACGAGGGATGAGCCGCCCTCACAGTGCTGTGAGCTCGGGCCCTCTGCTGCATCCTCCTGCCTGACCCCTTGCTCATTACCTTCCTCTGGTGCTGCAGGGGCGCAAATCGCATTTGTTGATAGCTATGGGAACTTTTTCCTAGGATCAAGAATCATGAAGAATTATTGGTTTTACCATGTCTCGCAATAAAACAGATGTTACGATGCTCTGTTTTTTTTCCGGTAAAGTCACGTAGGTAAAATAAAACAAAACAACTAAATTTAATTCCCTGTATCCAGCGCATTTTGCTGTGCCTGTATCCACCTGAAGACGGAAGCTTGTGTTGCCTCCGAAACGTCGTTATTTAATTTAGTTTTATTTTACCTACGTGACTTTACCAGAAAAACCAAAGAGTATGAATCCTTGCAGTCACGAAAGCTTCAAATCTAGATGTTAAGATGTTCAAACACCAAATATATACCTTTTTCAAGGCATCCAATCTGCATTAACCACATACTTGCGGCTTGGGTTACCTTGCACTATCCGAGGGGTCAGCAAACCTGAGCCGCATGCGGCTCTTTAAGGACTCTCATTCGTGACGTTATTTATCAAGGACCACCGTTTCGTATTCACAGGCATTGCGGCTGTTAAATATAGATTTTTTTTCTACCGAAATCGAAAAAAATGGCTCTTGTTATTTTGATTGCCGACTCCTGCACTATCCCAAGTCAATGCTTATATATTTATATATATTTTAAACCCACTTGTATAAAACCATAGTGTGGAATTGACCTACGCTCGGGATGAGGGCTTTATGCAGATGTAGGAGCGATTCCATGTGTGTATTTCAGATCCTATCTCAGTCTCAAGTCATAGGGTCTTTTTTACCAAAATGAGCATCAAGACGATATTCAAGTCCTGTTTCTCGTCCAGAACAAGTGGTGAAAATTACACATTCATATGGCGAGGACGAGTTAATCCATATGAGGTAACTATTGAACCCAGATGAATGATGGTCTGAGTCATGGGTCGGCAACCTTCAGCTTCGGAACCGCATGCGGCTCTTTAAGCACTGCTTCACGACGTTATTAAGGAAGCCACCTCGTATTCACATGCATCGCGGCTCGATGAAGTATTGAGTTTTTTTTTACCGAATTCGAAAAAAAATGGTTCTTGTTATTTTGGTTGCCGGACCCCTGGTCCAAGTCCACCCTAAACTAGGATTTGAACTGGCAACCTGAAGTTCAGGGGTTGTGTTGGGGACCTTGAATCGGTTGACTGTGGGCAATACTTGGGAAGCTGCCTCTTGGTGCAGCGCTTCTGAGCCTTGTTCACTCCACAGCATTCAAACTTTCGAGCTGGCTCGATCTTCGCGGCAACACTTCCGACTACCCCAACAGTGGCATGCACGACCGAGGGCGTTGAGAGGGCCGTGGGTGCGGGTTGACGGCCGTCTGCCATCCTGCGCTTTCGCGACCGATGGAGAGGGGAGTAGGTGGGAGGTGGAGGCTGGATCGGCCATTGAACAGCACGGGAGAGTTCGCAAGTCCTAGCTTGCCAACGATGAAGTTCTCTCCTGCCCTATAATTCCCACAATACCGCCGCTCACCTAGAACTTTGACACACTGGTCTTGTAGCAATATTTTTGCGTATGGTATTATTTTCAGTAGCTAAATACCAGTGTCGAGGTCTGCTAGCCACGTCGAAAGCGCTTCAGGCGAGAGTTCGTGTCGTTTTTCTATCCCTCCGTTCAAGGAGCGCATCCTACCGTGCAATGTTCCGCACTCATTTTCAGAGTTGGGGGGGGGGGCACTTTCGCCGATAAGACATCAGCGTGAGGGCCGACACACATTTGAAACCATTGGGGTTTGACAGCAGCACGATGGAGTGTTTTCACATTGTGTATTGTCGGGAGCCGCACTAAAGGCCACAAGAGTCAGCCAGTGACCCGAGGGCCACTGACTGCTATAGTGGCTTGCTAATTACGGTCCATAGTTTGGTTTCCGTGGCAACAGTCGCACTGTGGCTGGGGTTTTTAATTTTCCATTTAGGAAGAAGACGTTCGCATCGGCCTGTTGATCTTCTGATGCTGTTGATGGTTAAACCACCAGTGTCTTAGAGGAGGAGGGCTGGCTGGATCTCCGCGACACGTTTGACTTCAGAAGCTCTGGCGACATCTGGCGACTTCTGAGATTCGCATCTCGATTTTCACGGCTTCGCGAGTTGTCCAACGCTGCGCTCTCGTGCCCTCTAGAGGCCCGGGCCTCGTCCTGCAAGCGGAGCGCAACTGCTTCCAGGTCACCGTGACGGGGTCGTGACAGCGGCAGGAGGCTGGGCACCCGGCGGGGCGGTGCCCCGGGGGACCGGGAGACGGACCGGGAGACCACGGCGGGCACCGCGGGCAGGGAGCGCGGCTCTTACCGGGCCGGATCTACAAGCGGTCTCCGTCTCCATCCCTTAAGGGGCCCTCCCTGCGAGAAACATCACCGGGTGAGCCGAGGTCCTGGCGCGCTGCGCTTTTATACTGGGGTGGGGTGGGGGTCTTCTCGCCTTTCGCACAAATACCACGGGCTGGTGACCACCGTAGACTCAGGGGGAGCCCCCGTGGCGATACGTTCGTGCCGGTAGGTGGGGAGCGGGGGGGGGACGATGGAATAGCGGCCCCCCGCTTGGGCTCACCGATCGGAGAGTGACCGGCCTGTGATGTTTGACGTTTTCCTGAGCTCGCTTTGTTGATGACCGCACACGGATTGATGATCATGCCGGTCAATTTGAGTCATCGCTCATGGCCAAATCGCTCGGACATCGCCCGATTTCGTCAGATCCCGGAAGCCTAGCAGACTAAAGCCTGGTTCTCACTCACCATACACGTGAAGGTGCTATAGGCTGCGCGGGTAGGTTGTGGCCAGCAGAGGGCAGTGCCGCGAAATCAGTTGCACTGCACTTCTATGCCTCCCGCCTTCAGAAATGCACACCGTAACGTCAGCAGTTCGTCATGCTGTGCGGATCGTGGGGAGGCCCTCATCCAGCAGTGGCTTTGTACCATGCACGCATTGTGGTGATTCTCAGCAGGCGAGGACGTGGGACAGACATGGAGCTGGCCGCGTGCGAGCGCCTCTCTCAGCTGCTGGAGGAGCTCACCACGGCCGGAGGAGAGCGCCTCGATCCAGCTGGGATGAAGGAGCTCAAGAAGATCTGCAAGTGGGGCCTTCCAGGCACACCGCCACGCCGGCACGCCAGATAGCGTCTCAACTCCCAACAGCACACCGACAAACGACAGACATTGCTGTGACAACACCCTAGTCATCAAGACACCGTCACACTTAACACCAGCCGAGCAGCAGCTCACCAGCAGCTCACCAGCAAGCAACTCGCAACCAGAGTAAAACAATAGAATAGACGCACAGGGTGATTTCCTGTTCCTATTGTAACAGGATACCCATCGTGCCTTGTGAGTCACGTGACACCGCCACACTGCATGTGTAAGGACACGGCTGCCAACTCAACATAGCAGGACAATGATAAAACTGCGTACATTGGTGTTCACCTCGTTAGGAATCGTCAGTTTAGTAGAGCCATCAGCGTTTTCTACTGCCGTCTTGTGCTTCAGGTGCTTCATGTTGAGATTGCCAGTCCTGATTGCTGTGGGAGCACTTTTGGACAGCCTCGGGTCCGCAGCAACACCTTTTTTCCACTGTGCGACCGAGCCGCGCCAGGGGCCATGCCGAGCCAGCCCAGCGTAGCTCAGGAGGCACCAAGTTTTTCCACTGTAGAAGTCGGGCTGCCAATGTCACACACGCTGAGCGCATCATTAGCCCCGAGGCAGACTCAAATGTCTCTGAAAGCCAGCGTGGCACGGTTCAACTCCGGCTCAGCACAACACAATAGCCGGCGGAAAACCACCCATACCGCGAGGTTTCACCCGCGCAGCCTCATCTCAGCTCGGATGTGCCGGTGGAAAATGGGTACAGTATAACCGAACCCCCCGTGCCGTGCCCGTGGCCTGCAGGCAGTCGGATGCGTACGTCCAGCACGCCTACCAGCTGCTGCTCACGCAGCTGAGGCAGGAGCACTCGGAGGTGCGTCTGGCGGCGCTGCTCGTGGCAGACGAGCTCTTCTCGCGTTCGCACGCCTTCCGCCTGGCGCTGCTCTCCGACTTGCAACTGGTGCTCGAGCTCACGGCCGAGACGGACCCCGAGCGGCCGCTGCCGCCGCCGTCGGCCGCGGCGCACCGCCTGCGCGGCCTGGCGCTGCGCACGGTGCATGCCTGGCACGAGCGCTACGGGCAGGACTACCGCAAGCTGGCGCTGGGATACCACTTCCTGAAGCACGCCCGGAAGGTGGGGAGTTGGCACGGCTGGATGATGGGCGTGACAAATGGGGCACTGGCATCGATGCAAGAATGATAACAATAATGCAATGCAGCTTGCTGTCTTATGACGTTTGTTGTGCTGAGCATCCCCGGGCATTTTGCACTGAACCCTCCATTTCCCCCCCATTAAATAAATGTGCAACAACTAACCCAGCTCAAAAATAAGCAACTCAAACATGTTATTACGTGGATTTTACTGCTTTTGATTGTGGCAGCGGCACCGGCACCTGACATCACGAGAATGGAGTTGTAGAGGCAAGGAGTTATAGCGACTCAAGACCCTTACCGTGCTGATTTAGAAAACTTCTAGGAACCAGCACAGGTTTGTCCCACACCACTTCTTCTTTGGTATAGCTGCTGATGTCGATGCAGAGCAACTACAGTTTCACATTCAGGTGGTCAAGCCAGATAACCGCGTCAGGAGCAGCAGAGTGTATCGCTGTAATGTCTGCATCGTACGTTGTAAGGTCTGTTCTAGATGACCACAGTCACACACTGGAGAGTTTTCCATTTGTGCATCTGGTATCCGCTTCTACTGCCATGGCTTTTGCAGTGGATGCGGTTTAGGGTGGACCATGAGCTCCGTGGAAGATCACACACCACTGACACATATACACACACATGCACAATCGCTTGCCATGACACAGGCACAAATGCACATCAGTCGTACACACGTACGCACGCACATGTGTGCACGTTTGGGTTAACATTGTGCACGTTGGCAACGATTCTACATTTTATTTAAGCGCTTCGCTTTTGAATTACTTCACTCCCACATTTCACATTAATTACCATTTATAGTTCACGACACCTTCAACAGAAGTATTCTGGTATTGTTCTATGTGCAGTGTGGACAATGAGATGGGGCCACCCATGGTCACAGAGGAGTTGGCGGGGAGGTGGAATTTGGGACGTTTTTTTTCCGGACTTTGGATCCCAGGAGGCCTCAGAAAAGGCAGAGGGGGGCCTCATCAGGCATTTCGCACCAGGGCCTCCAAAATCCTCGTGGCGACCGCTATGCTACCGGCCTGCTCGTGGCGTGGTCGTGGTGACGGCCGCCGGCTGGCCCCGCCGACGCAAATTCCCCTTGCCTTCACGCTGCCCGCCCCTCCCCCCCCACAGGTCGACTTCCAGGACGTGCAGGCACGCTCGCTGGCCCAGAGGCAGAGGGAGGCCGAGCAGCAGAGGCGGCAGGAGACCCTGAACAAGGAGAAGGCGCGCAAGGCGGCTGCCGAGATGGAGGGTGCGGCATCTGTAATCCGGGGGTTTACGTCGGAGTGGGTGACGGGGACTATGGTGTGTGGGTGGTTGATGTGGTTCCTTGCGGGTAGTTCGGCCGATGCTGTGCCAGTGTTTGAGGCAATATCGCGATGGCGGTGTGGCCGTGGTGGGCCGGTAGTTGAGGACATGGCGGTGTGTGGTTTGTCGTGGCTGTGATGTACATGTGCTTGAGCTGGCACTGTGCTTGCGATTAAGGCGAGTCTGCGGCCTGCCCGTGTTGCGTGTGCAGAGACGGTCGGCGAGCTGCAGGACTGCCTCACGCAGGCCGAGTCCTGTTTCCGGCTGCTGCTACCCTCCCTGGGGGAGTTTGACGTCTTTCCCAGCGACGCCGGCTCGGCGGGGCGCGGTGGATCCCCAGCTGCCCTCAAGTGAGATTCACACACGGCCTCGCGGGCAGAGTTGGGGGGGGGTACCCGGCCACATGTGGGAGCGACGCGTGTGTGGAGTCGCCCTCCTGAAACGAGTGCTGTAAAAAGTTGCACTTTTCGTTTCAGCAACGGAGATAATCTCCAATGGAACCCGAGCCTTGGCGGTGCCAGCGCGGCAGCCCGTGACGAAGAGGGCTCCTCGGCCACTCCACGGAGTCAACAGCAACCAGGCTGCAGCACGGACGATGCTTCCGCTCCTCCTCCCTCGTGTGGCTGGGGCTCTGGGGTCATGGTCACCCAGGGAGGTGAGCTGGCTTTCGGAAGCTCTCAGGGAAAGGGTGGTCGGGGTGGCGTTGGTGTTAAGAGCCCCATGTGCTTTGTGGTCAGTGAGTGATCCAGACGAGGACGATGAGGATGAGGACGACGACGACGATGATGATGAAGACAGCGGTGAGGGAGGAGAGGCCGCAGGAGGAGGTTCGGGCAAGGAGGAGCAGGGGCCAACGTTCATGAGGGACCACGGTCTGATCTCCCACAGCTACAGCCTCACGCTCGAGATCCCTCCAGGTGCTCAGTTCAGGCATGGGCACCGACCTACTGCTGCTGCTGCTGGTTGGATGGTTGTGATGGTGGTGGTGGTGCTGGTCGGGGTAGATGTGGAGGTGGTGGTGGTGGTGCTGGTGGGGGTGATGGTGCTGGCGCGGGCAGTTGTGGAGGTAATGGTGGAGGTGATGGTGGAGGTGATTGTGGAGGTGGTGGCGCTGGGGGGGGTGGTTGTGCAGCTGCTGACGGTGTTGATTGTAGTGGTGATGCTGGCGTTGATGCTGGTTGTGGTGGCGATGGTGGTGGTGTTGGTGACACGAAGCTTGCTTTGTCCTCCCAGTGGTGGTCGTGCAGGAAGATGAGGACAACAGTGCGGTGCTCACGACTCTGCGCGACCAGCTCGGCCTCATCCAGACGCGGCACCTGCCCCGCGTGCAGGCCTGGCTGCAGGTTCACATGTTTTTCTTTCTTCAACAAAGTGGCTCGTCATGTGGAATTTTATAGCGTTCAAATACTCTTTAAACGTGTGATGTAGATTCTAAACGCGGAGGGAAAAACCGGAGGACCCGGAGAAAAACCCACGCGACTACGGGGAAAGAGACATGCAAACTCCAAATATACGGGTGTCAGGGTCGGGATCGAATCTATGACCTGCATACGAGGAGAGGTAGTTAACATCTTACCACCGTGGTGCCCACACACAAAATAAAGTCCCCCATCTAGCCTATTCAAGCTGTTGGGGCAAATGCTGCTCAGAAACACCTATGCCACCGTGACCCGTACAATGCACGGCTGCCTTTGTCTCCCGAGTGGTGATGCTTACACGCTATAGTAGGTACTCATTTAAGGCTGAATTGGCCTCGAGCAGGTCCAGGACCAATTAAGATATTCGGAATTGATGTTGAGCGGGTTGAGAGTGAGCGGGCTAACCACTACATGACCACTCGCACACGCTTATCCATCTATCCACGCACGCACGCACGCATGCACGCGCACAACAACAACCGCCATTCGCCACTAAGTGGCGGTGATGTCACCATGGCGCTTGTGTCAGGCTGTGTGCACTTTAAGGCCACACGCATGACGCACACGCATGCACGTAGGTCGACATGCATACGATTCGCACAGTGTAACACGGTGCAAGGGCCGAGCGTCACGGTGACCACGGTGGCGCGGTGTACCTCAGGCCTTCACCCGGGCCGGCGTGAACGACGCTTCCCTCAAGCGGGCTATAGACATCAAGATGGCACTGGAGGCCACCGTGAAGAAACACGAGGAGATGAACATCCATTACCGAGCGAGCCGGGCACAGCATTCGCCGGTACGACCGCACGGCCCCCACGGCCTCGCGGCCCTCGCGGCCCTCGCGGCCCTCGCGGCCCCGCATTCGCGCAGCCGCCACGTCGGGCCACTGGGAACCAGCAGGTGGCAGTGGCGCACCTGGTGGTGTCCGAAGAATAGACGTGGCTTTAGGGTTGGGATCAGGGGTGAAGAACATTTCTCCTTTTTCAAGGCTAATTGGCCCAATATTTGACTTGTTGGTACCAACTGATGATGGCACCAACATTTTTAAATTGGCAACAAAAAATTATGCAAACAACCTCATTGAATAAGCATGTAGTCACATTGTCCCACTTTTATTGGCCATACACAGAACTACTAAATTAAAACTTTGTTTTTTTACTAGGTAAGGCCCACTGAGCTATATAGCTATTTTTCAGAAGCGACCTGGTTAACACAAATGATAAGGAAGTGGCTTATCACGTGAAAATTTAGAGGAGCAAAATACGTGTAGGGAAAAACCGGAATTGACACTCTTCTTTTGCCCATGGACCTTTGGTAGGCCACACATGAACACCCGCGCACCGTCGTTGACTGACCACGCAAAATATAATGAGGGGCTCTCCTCCACCGCACCAGCTGCTGCCAGCTTCCCTCTTGCGAACACCACCACAACAATGATGATGATGATGACGTCGTGCCGTGGTTTTGACATTGGACGCACAATGTTTCAGATTTGCTTGATCGCCACGGCCAAGATGCTTGCAGTGACACGTTAATGTGTCGCTGCGATGCGTAGATGTTTGTTGTGGGTCGTTTGGAAGCAGAGGGCTCCGTGTCGGCCACGGCCTGCATGCGGCCCGCCGGCTGATTTGGTAGTGATGAAGAGAGAGGGAGGAGGGGCAACATTGGGTTCATAACCAATGACCCCCACACCCTCGTTTGTCGGAATTTGGCAGGTAGAGGAGTCTGACTCAGAGTTTGAGGAGGTTCCGGAGAAGGACGGCTATGAACCACACATCCCAGAGCATCGGCGCGCAGAGTATGGTGAGTGCGGAGACTCATACAACCGCACCATCACGTGACTCCACCACCACCACGTTACTCCACCACCACCACCACCACGTTACTCCACCACGACCACCACGTGACTTCACCACCACCACCACCACCACGTGACGCCACTCCCACCATCACGTGACTCCACCCCCACTATCACGTGACTCCACCTCCACCAACACGTGACAACACCACCATCACTACTATCATGTGACTCCACCACCACGACCACCACCACGTGACTCAGCCATTACCACCATGTGACTCCAGCACCACTGCCATATGACACCACAATGTGATATCACCACGATGTGGCAGTGGTGGCTACACTGCACGTGGCAGCTCTGATCCAGCACTGTGGAGGCAGCGATGGTTGGTGGATTGCACAAATGTCGTGAAACTCCCTGTGGGTGTTGAAGAGGTGCCATACCCTGGCTCGCCAGGAGAAGCCAGGACCACAAGTGGACTAACATCTGTTTCCATCTGTACGGGGATAGAGCGTTGCCTCCTTATGTGTGTTGTTTTCTCCGAGTGCTCCAGTTTCCTCCCACGTGTATATTCAACACATCTCACCATTAATTGGCTCAAAACATCTTAAAATAAAAACCTGATGTAGCAGTAGTAGAAGCCTCCTGAAAAAGAGTCATGTTACTCAGTGTGGCTCTGTAGGGCAATTAATTAATTAATTAGTATTACGACCACCACGTAACACCATCAGCTGACAGTGCTGACTCCAAATTTTGGTGAAATCACCACTTGGCTATGTCAATCACCACCACCACCACCACACAATACCTCCACCCACCAAGTAGCACCGCTACCACCACCACCACCACGTGCCACACCCACACACCAGCACATGACACCACCACAACAAGATATCCACCACCACACAAGTAACACCACCACCACCAAGTCGGGTCTTGGCAGAGCCCCCATTGCTGCTGGAGCCACACGGGGGTCTGGGTTTCGCTGGCGCTCGGCACAGTCGCTGTCACCGACATCGTTTCTTGGGCACTGTACTTTTCAAACGGCTGCATTTCCATAGCAAATAAAACGGACGGTTAAGCTTTACGGATCCCGCTCTTCGTCAAATGCCCGCAGATTGCGCAGCGCCCAGATCGGTGCTTATCGACGGGCATTAGCGCGCCGCATTGATCGGGCGACGGCCGTTAGGCGCCCCGCGTCAACGGGCGGTGACGAGCGAGCGAGGCGATGGCGGCTCCACGCACGGCACCGTAACGCGGCGGTGGGGTGGTGGTGGAGCTGCACGGCCGCCGTTTCCACGGCCGGGCTGGTGTTGGGGGGTTTGAGAACGGCACGGGCCGTGCGATCTGCTTGGTGCATTTGATAGAAAAGTCGTGTCGTGCCCGGCTGTGCTCTGCTGCATGGAGCCGGGGTCATTGGAAGAGATCTCGGAGGTAGCTCTGTGATATCCGCTTCCGCGGGCCGCTCTCTAATAGGAAGAATCGCACGGCTCTGTGAGAGATCCGAATGGTAAGTTCGTCTCAAGATAACAAAATTGAGTGGCATTGTGGTGGTGACGGAGAGTGGAGTGTGGCTCTGCTAATGCTTCTGACGTGCTGGGCACGATCACCAGGCCTGGAGCCCGAGTCTCTCCAGGAACCAAGGCCCGGGCCGTCCCGTGGGCTGGCGCCGGGGGGCCCCGGTACCAGCAGAGCAGCTGCCCTCCGCACGTGCCGCGCTCCGCTACCTGACGGGCGGCTGTGCGAGCGGGCTGACCGACATAAGGTGCCCCCCCCGACCCCCTCGCCCCAACCGTGATAAAGCATGCAGCGTGCATACTCCATGATGGCCGTGCACTGCGTTCATTCAAATGCGACGTCGCTGCCAGCACTCTTGCGCCAGCCTGGGTGCCAGGTCACTGTGGTCAGATGGACTTCTTGTTCACAGTCCGTGTCAGATAGCAGTCTGGGTGTGTATCTACAAAAGAAGTGACGTTCGTGTGTCGTGTTCGGAGTCCTCCTGTGTGCCTCCCCGCGGGCGCGTGCCCCCCACCCCCACCACGACCCTTCCCATGCCTCCCCCCATCCCGTCAGTATTCTGTATTTGGCCAGGAGATGCACAAAACATAATTTGCCCCTCATGCAAGGGTGACTTGGCTACAAATTAATACTCGTATCCCCCACCCCGCTCCCCAGTGTCCGTTCCACGGGAAGATCGTTCCGCGCGACGAGAAGGGCGTCCCGGCAAGTGCTGAGGACGCGGCGCGGCTGGAGCGGGAACGGAGGCAGCGGGAAGAGGCCGAGCGGCCAGGTACGTGCCGGGCCGAGATGCTTTCCAGGTCACCGACGCAAACAGAATGAAGCTCCGGACGCTCACTCGCGGAGCGCGGCCTCACGGCATCCGAGCGCTCGAGCGCCGCGACCGCCCGATCGTTCCATTTGCCGTCGGCGTCTGGGGGCGGCACCAGGGGGCAGCACCGCCGCGTTGCGGGCAGCCGAGCGGCGCGGAGGGTGGGGGTGGCTGGCGTCCCGTCCCCGTTTGGACGCGCTAACTGCCCACTCGGTTGTGAAATGAATCCGGGCGGGTGGGTATTGATTTCCTGGCGGTGTGAAAGCCGGGGCTTTGCGCGGCCGGTAATGAGAAGGGGGATTGCTCCTTCGCCCAATCCTCTTTAACTGTCTCGCGGCCGGCGCTGCCGTCCCGCGCCGGCGTGTCCCCTCGGCCTTCATCGCCTGCAGGAGCGCCGTCTGGGGCGCAGGACGGCGCTGCGCCGGATCGCCGTCGCCCGCCGAAACGTTTCGTTCCTCCGCCCGCGCGTTATTTTTAAAATTTCCTATTTTGCACGTTCTGCCGTTTGCCGCAAGACTTCGCCGATTTCGCTGCTGCCAGGCGTCGGTCGCAGCGCTGCGTGGAACCCCACTGAGGGCGCGCAAAGGGGTTAAGTCGTGTCGGCTTTTGTGGAGATCGATCAGCACAAAAATCCCCGGGCCTGTTAGCGACGGCGGCGGCAACGACGGAGTCCCCAGTCCAGGCTCGCGTAATTACGGCTCGGCAGAGGGAGGGACGGGGAGGGGCGGTGGGCAGGCGGGCGGGGGGGCGGGCGTGCCGTGTTCACGGATCTCCGCGCGTTTAGAGAGGCGTTAGTGAGAAATCGTGCGATCGTTAGAACTCTGGCTCCCGTAACTCCCAATGTGTTTTCAGCAAAACCGCTCCTAATGCCCCCCGCTTTACGGGCAATTTAAAGCGGGACGTGGGGGTCGCCGCCCCGCACGGCCCCCGCGCCTCCGTTCGCCCACAGGAAATTCCATTTCGGGTTCTCTCTTATTATTTTATTTCTGTTTTGTTATCAATTTGGTCGAGCCGCACGCCCGCTGTGTCGGGTGCGGGTGAAGTGGTGGGGGGGTGGTGGGGGGGGCGGTGGGGGGGGCGTGGGGTTGAGAGGAGGGTGGAGGGGGGGGTGCCGTGGTGCTGTCGACGCTGGCGTGGTGCAAATAAGTGAAAATGTGCACGTGGAGGCGCCCGTTTGCACGCAGTCACGCAGCCCCCGCCTCTCTTCGCCCCCCCAACCCCTCCCAATCCACCCCCCGCACCCCTGGGTGTGAACGTGGCGCAGGGTGGAGGGACGCGGAGCTGATGAGAGACATCGAGGCGGCCACGGGGCTGGACCTGGGCTCGTCGCGACCTGAGAGGGGCAAGGGCAGGGGAAAGGGAAAGCGCAAGAAATATCCCAACCTGACGGACGTGAAGCAGCTCAACAACACGGCGCGCAGTCGCCTGGAGAGGAAGGTGTTCAACAGGTCCGTGTCCCCACACCACCACACACACATACACCACCACTACCACCGTGGCATCTCCACACTCACCCCACCACCACGTCACCACACACACCACCACGTCACCACACACACCACCACTATCATCAACACACCCACCACCACCACATGACCAAAGACAAAGTTCCCCGTATAGCCTAACAGACCGTTGGGGCAAGTATTAGCGAGCAGCTATGAAGGCCGGCACGGCGCTCAAGGGGGTGGGTGGCCAGCACCACGTCCGGCCTCCTTTGCCTCCCTGGTGGCGATGCTCATACACCGCACCAGGTACTCATTTGAGGCTGAGCCGTCCCAGGGGAGGCTCAGGACCGGTTCAGATAATCATCACAGATGTTGGCCATAAACAGGAATCAAACTCGGGTCGCTGGGCTCGTAGGGTATTGAGTACACAAAGACACCACCATATCCCACGCTCCCCACCTCCGTACATGGACACTCGATCCGTCCGACACCGTGCAGGGACCTAGGTATCTCGTCACGAGACGCATCGATGCACCCCCCTGGGAGGGAGGGCGTCCTCATGGGCATGGTCACCCAATAACACACAGCGACATATCTATATATATAAACGGGAAATTTGTGAATACGTGTGTCTGTTCGAAATGTTCAGCATACTTCCCAACATGCAACAAACTTTAAATTTGGCATGTGGGTAGACTTTTGTATTGGGGGGGGGGGGTGGGCACAATAATGCATGAAATTTATTGCACGGCAAGTGAGTGGTGACGTCACATCTGTGATGTCACACGCATCTTTACATAGGCTGTACAGCACCACCTGTATACACCACCCTTGTACAAAGAGAAAGACCCCCTGGGTAGCTGTTAACAGATGGTCGGGGCAAGTGTTGTTAGTTTGCGAGTATCACCTATTAAGGCCGGTGCACGAGGGGGTGGGTGGTCAAAACCACGCCAGACTGCTTTCGCCTCCCCAGTGCACACCGCACCAAGTACTCATTTGAGGCTGAGTCAACCTAGGTGAGGCGCACGACCGTTTCAAATATTCGCCTCTCTTTGGTCGTGAGCGTGAATCGAACTCGGATTACACCGGGTTGGTGGCGGAACGAGCTAACCACTGTGTTACTGCTCCCCACCACCACCACCACCACGCACCACCACCACCACGCACCACCACCACACACCACCAGCACCACCACCAGTACCACGCAACACCACTACCACCATGCACCACGATGCACCACCAGCACCACACACCACCACCATGCACCACCACACACCACCAGCACCACCAGCACCACGCACCACCACCACGCACCACCACTATGCACCACCACCATGCACCACCAGCACCACCAGCACCACGCACCACCAGCACCACCAGCACCACACACCATGCACCACCACCACGCACAACCACCATGCACCACCACCATGCACCACCAGCACGCACCACCAGCACCACGCACCATCAGCACCACCAGGACCACGCACCAATACGCAGCACCACGCACCAATACGCAACACCACCAGCACCGCCACCCACAGGGGCGCTTGCTGCCCGCGTGGTGGCACTGACGGCATGCTCCTCTTGTCCGCGTTGTTCCCGCGCATTCCTGCCCCCTGCCGTGGCCAACGATCTCTAAACAAACCCTCGGTGGGGGGTGAGCAGGGAGAGCACGAGCTCAACACCCCCCCTACTCCCCACTGTCAATCACCACGGCGCACACCACCGATTCTGCTACGGGAGGGGGAACGCGGTCGTGGTGTTGTGCCAGCGAAGCACAAAGGGGATTTAGTCATGGGGATCTTTGTAAGTAGGGGGCCATAGCTGATAGGGGGGGTGTGGGGGACTACAATCAGAGAGACCCACCCAATGAGAAGCCCCCCGCACCAGCCGGAACGTCCCAAGTTACATTGGACCCAAAGAACTACGCGATGTCTGCGAACCTGCGGTCTGCGTCTCCTTGCCGACGGGAGCATCGGGGATGAGGCGGTGGTGAGGGCAGCGACGTTCTCGCGTCGCCGGTCACCGGAGGGACGAAGCTGCCGAGTGTGCAGGCTGTGCAACTGCACCGGTGCCTCCGGGGCCGGTGGGACCCGAGTGCCGGGCTACAAGGAGGTGGGCCCCCCCCTCAATTCACTTCTTGCACGGGGCCCATGCCAACCTTGCTACGTTATTGATGACGTCGCTTAAGGTCAAGTCCAGGGGTGATCGTGGTCAATGGCATTGGTGCCACCAGAACCTCGTCGTCGTAGCCAGCACCCGGCCTCCACGCGGTGCAGGATGACGCGACACGAATCTGAATCCTCTCTTGGACGGACACCCGGGCCACTGTGTCCTGCGAATTTCGGTGGTTCCTGGAACAGACTTTAGAATCGCGGTGAGGCTCTCCGCGTATCAAAGTGTAAACGTGCGATGTCGGCGTCACAGCGGCGACACGAGCGCCACGATGGGACGTTCCGTTTGTTTGCGTTTCTCACGACCGAAGCGTCACGCTTGCGGTCTGACATCGAGCGGGAACCGCCAGACGAGCGCCGCACGTTTCCCACGTCACGTGGTCCGTCGCTGCCGCGAGTCGCTCGCCGCGAACTCGACGACCCCGGCGGACGCGGGGCCTCGGCCCCCCCCACGAGGCCCTTGCGTCACAGAGTGGCCGCTTGCCAGCAGCAGGCTCTGCACTCTCGAGCTGCGTTGCTCTCAATGCTGGGCCACTCTGGCCAGGGTCCACTTCCGCAGGTAGGGAGGGATTGGGGGCGGGGCGCAACGTTTCGTGGGGAGGCGGGCGGCGGGCGGGGGGGGGGGGTGTCTGTGGATGCCCGCGACGCGCGGACACACGGGGACGGAGCCAAGGGCGGCCCGCGGCGGCGGCAGGGCCCCGCATCCCGGCGAGGGCCCGAGGCTGAGGGCAGCGGCGGCGGCGGCAGCGGGGCCAATCTCGTATGCCCCGCGCGGGGCCAACATTGATCGGCGAGGCAGTGGCCCTTGGCGCGTATTGAACCGGCCGCGGCTGTCATTACCCTTATCAGATGGAGGCGGCGGCGGACGGGGGGAGCGGCCTCGTGGAGCCGCGGCGCGGGGAAGGAAGGGCGAGCGTGGGGGGATTGGGGTGGGATAGGGAGGTGGAGTGGGGGGGGGTCCAGACCCCCCCCACGGAATTTTACTGGGGGGGCCACCCCATCCACGCCGTCGTCGCCATCCTCGTCGTCCGCTCGGGAAGCCTGCGCTCGGCGCAACGACGGAGGAGCTAGCGGTGGACGAGGAGCGTCGGGGAGGTGGCGAGGAGCGGCGGGAGGGGGGGCGCGGAGGGAATCGGCTGGGAAGGCGGAGTAAGGGAGAGGGATAGAAGGGGAGGGAGAGTTGGAGGAGAGAGACGTGAAGGGGAAAACCGGAGGGGGAATTGAGGGAGCTGGGAAGAGGGACGCGAGGAAGAGTGGGAAGGGACGGGACGTGCGAGAAATGGGGAGCTGGGTCTGGACTGTGCGGAGTGCGGAGTCTCGGCTGCCAACACGGAGATGGGCTGCTCCGAATCTCCCGCTCACCCTGCCTACTCTCCCAGCTCTTCGCTTGGGAAAGACAAAGATGGGTGGGGGAGGGGGTGAATCGTGAATCGATGCAGCGCGCAGGGGAGCGGAGACCTCGGCGCTCGACTCTACGAGGCCCCGGGTGGAGCCTCCGCAGGTTTTTATCAGCGGCGCCGTGAGCTGTGCGGATTCGGACTATCGATCCCTTTTTGGGTTTTTTTTGCTTGCGCGCCTCTCAATGTGACCATTTCTGTCCTTGAAAAAAAATCACATCTTACGTCTTCCCTATCTTTTGCCCGCAGTTCTGTTCAATTGTCTCTGCCCCGGGCTATTGTAATTTCGCACGACCTTGACGCTCGGCGGGGAATAATTACTGTGCGACACGCCGCGCCTCTCTCACGCCGTGACAACTGCAACAACCGCACGCACTACCACGTGAACTACCATCGCCACTACCAGTACCGCCGGCACCGCCAGCACCGCCAGCACCAACTGCCCACACTACCACGTGAACTACCATCGCCACTACCAGTACCGCCGGCACCGCCAGCACCAACTGCCCACACTACCACGTGAACTACCATCGCCGCTACCAATACCACCGGCAACTACCATCACCACCATCAGCACATAAGCACGACCACGCAAACTGCCAGCATCATCCCCGGTACACTTGGAGCGACACAATGAACTGAACCAGCGCCACCACCATCACCGTCAGCTCTACCGACACGGGCAAAGATAATCACACGAGCACAGTCACCAGCAGCAGCGCTGGCATCAGCACTACCAACCAGCGGAACCACCACCACCAGCTCCCCCCCTCCGCGCCGTCTCACCCCCCCCCCTGCCTACCCCGCCGCCCCCCCCCCCTGCCTACCCCGCCCCTCATCCCGTGTCGCCCCCAGAGCCTCGGTGAAGCGAGTCTCAGCTGCGATGTCGAAGCTGGACCGGGGAAAGCACGAGAGGTTCACCAACCAGTTCACCTACGCACTCACCTGAGTGGCGGTGAATGAGGTGGGGGGGAGGGGGGTGGTGGTGTTGTCTGGCTGGGTGGAGGCTGCCCCCCCCCCATTACTCCGCATGTCTCCGGGTGCGGGTGCTGAGCACGTGGCTCCTTCAGCTGCGACCATCATAATCCCCACCACCACCAAAGACAAAGATCTCCATATAGCCTTAAAAGACTGTTGGGGCAAGTGCTGTTAGCGGGCACCTATGAAGGCCGGCACGGCACACGAGGGGGTGGATGGCCAGCACCACGCCCGACCGCCTTTGTCTCCCTCGTGGCAATGTTTTTACACATCACACTAGGTACTCATTTGAAGCTGAGTCGAGCTAGGGGAGCCGCAGGACCCGTTCAGATAATGGCCAACTGGTGTTGGCCGTGAGCAGAAATCGAACTCGGGTCGCCGGGTTTGTAGCGCAGCGCGCTAATCACCGAGCCACCACTCCCCTACCACCAACGCCATCACCACGATTGCCGCAGCCACGAGCACCACCACCGCAGAGCCATAACCACCACTGCAACCACCTCCATCGGTACCACAGCAACCAAGACATCCGCCACCACGAACACTCACGCCGTTGGAAGCAGCGCCAGCATGACCCAGAGTGCACCCGTTGCTGGCCCGCATCAATGCAATGTTTGTAATAAATATTTATACCGGACTCTTGTCAACGTGTGCGTGGCTCGGTGTGCGGACGCACTCCCCTGTGCACCTCTTCTCTTGCGTGGACTCTCAAGCCGAGGTCTGCACGTGTCACGTGACACCGTAGACCCCCCTCAGACGAGGTGTTGCATGTCTCGGGATCAGACCAGGTTTGTATGTATGTTGAACTTCTTTCGCACCGTATATAGCCAAACCGTGCTCATCGGAGGTGCGGGGAAGGACAAACAAACTAAACACAAAGCAGTTCTAAAGAATCGAGTTTTCAATCTAGATTTAAAAGTGCATAGCTCCAGTGGCTTCATTACATTACACGCTTTTTATTAACTCACTGTTGTCGTATCAATCTTGTAACTCAATTTTAACCCACTTCCCAATGGGGTATCGACTGCAAACTTGGTATACTTATGTCATACTGATGACTACTATATTCTATCATAAAAAATAGAAATTATATATTTTTAAACATTTTTTTTATATGTTATGTTTCGGCTTGGGTCTAATTGTCCACGCTCAACTGACGTTGGCTGTAAATGACTACGGCCGCTGACGTTATGGCAAGCTTTGCGGCCACTTCCTGGAGTCGTGGAGTTCTGCCATTACGAGTACGGTACATTTCATGAAAGCGTGTTTTTAAAAAAAAGTTTTTTTAAAAATATTACTTATTTTATCGGAAGAAAGAGCGAGCCAGGCCGCCGCTGAAGTGCATCCGAATGCGCGCGATGTGGTGACCGCATTTGTTCAATGGCTCGGCAAAAGCCGCTGCTGTGAAGAGACGGGAGTTTGCGTGATGGTTTATGCTTCTTGAGATCAGCAAGGTATTGTGGTTCATTTGTGGCAAGCACTTTGTGTGTAATGAGTCCGACCTTATAGTGTATTCGTTCGGCAACCGGAAGCCGATGCAGCTCAGCGAGCACAGGACGGACATGATCGGATCCTGGAGTACCCGTCACGACACGTGCCAAAGAATGTTGTACACCCTGCAGCTTGGTAATGTTTTTGCCAGACCACCTGTAGAGGAGTGAGTTGCAATAATCGAGCCTTGTCGACACTATGCAACACTCCGCCGTGTTAGCTACAGTATATCACGACACAAATAGTGGTCGGATGTATCGTAGAGCCCTGATATGAAAATCGCAAGAGCTGACGACATTGTGCACGTGGTGACCGAACGACGTTCTGGCCGAGCATGGTGCCGAGGCTCTTTATATGAGTAGAAAACTTAATCCTGGAGTCTCGAGATCAGATGAGGCGTTTCTTTTCTCGAGATCAGACGAGGTGTTCCATGCCTCGAGATCAGACGAGGTGTTCCATGCCTCGAGATCGGAGGAGGTGTTCCTTGTCTCGAGATGAGACGAGGTGTTCCACGTCTCGAGATCAGATTATGTGTTCCACGTCTCGAGATCAGACGAGGTGTTCCATGCCTCGAGATCAGACGAGGTATTCCATGCCTCGAGATCAGATTATGTGTTCCACGTCTCGAGATCAGACGAGGTGTTCCATGCCTAGAGATCAGACGAGGTGTTCCACGTCTCGAGATCAGATTATGTGTTCCACATCTCGAGATCAGACGAGGTGTTCCATGCCTCGAGATCAGACGAGGTGTTCCATGTCTCGGGATGATCCATGTGAAATATTCGAATCCCCTTCGTATGGCCTATGAAGAGCAACTCTCGGGAGATGCAGTGGGGTGATGTCGACCTCTGCTCGCGCTGTCCGCGTTGGTGAATGGAAGATGCGCGCTCACACAGCCCCCCCCCCCCCCCTCACTACCGCCTTCATGCGTGTGCATACCGGGCAGTGCGGAATTCGGGACTCTGGAAGCACACACAGGAGGAGCCTGTCTGATTATTCGCCTGTGTATCGAGTAATATTAGTGATAATCGGTGGGTGGGGGGGGGGAGGGGATTAGGAGCGGGAGGTGGAGGGAGCCTCGTCCGTCGCGAAGGGGGAGACGCGGCGCAGAAGACCTCACGAGGGACCAGTGGTAATAAGAGGAGGATTCCTAGCACTCATATGGTACCGATCCTCGCCAACTAGTCATCGGCACGAGCTCCACCCATAACCAAACAGAAACCAGAAAAGTATCTGCTGGTACCCAAACTTAACCGTGAAGAGATGGGGAAACGCTCCACAGTTACCCGTGCGTAACCTTCGCAGCCTTGACGCACACTTCGGTGGCCATGTGAGGGCCAGGTGAGGGCCAGGTGGGTTTCAGGTGCGGGCCAGGTAAGGGCCAGGTGAAGAGGGAGTGCAAAGCGGAATGGCAGGCGAGGCCCCGGTCGTCCGGGCCGATGCAGAAACTCCACGTGGTCACAAGGGGACCCGAGACACCTACGGCGGGCACGTGGTTGCGTTACTGCGTGGTGGAGTGGTTGAATCGGTGGTTGAGTGATTAAGTGGTTGAGTCAGTAGGTGGTTGAGTGTTTGGGTAGCTGTCAGTGCTCATCAGGCTTCACGAAAATTCGTCATCGCCGAGTTGACGCCAATGAGGTGGCGAGATTTCTATCCCTGCGTGTGTGTGTGTACGGTTTCAGGAAAGGGCGGTCCTGCACAGATGCCATATTTTCTGTCCGTCTGCTACAGCAGAGGTGTAGGGAATTCCAACAAGACCTACATCTCTGCTTTATTGACCTGGTCAAGGCCTATGATACCATCAGTAGGCCTGAGCTCTGGGTTGTTCGTGCTTTTGGAGTCCCTGACCCTCTGCTCACGATCATTAAGGACCTTCATGATGGTGAGCGGGCTCGGGTAAAACTATGTGGCCGGGAGTCAGAGCCATTCCCTGTACACCTTGGGGTGCGACAGGGATGTCCTCTGGCTCCCACATTATTTAACATCTATTTTGACCACGTAGTCCGTGAAGCCTTCAATAGCTGTACCGGGGGAATCTACATTTGGTACATATATAATGGGAGGCTGATCGATGCCCGGGTGCGGACAAAGGATGGCTCCCTATTGCTCAACCACGTTGTGTATTTTTTTGTGCCAGTTAAAAGGGTAAAACCTATTCCTATATCTTGTTTCTGGCAAAGGAGGTCTCATAATGTTAATGCTCACCCCGAGCCCTCAATACTCTGATAGTGCGCTGTTTTTGAGTTGTACGCCTTTTGGCATCTTCTGGTCCAACACCAATGGAGACTAGGCTCTAAGAAAAGCTGTCTCGGGTGTGGACCAATCAAATTCAAGGACAGTGCTTATTATCAGAGTTGTCTTTTTTGTTTGCATTTTGACTGCTTGTGTTGTGGTCATTGCAAACATGATGCCTTGAATAAATGTGTCAGTTTTTGTGCCAGTTAAAAGGGTAAAACCTATTCCTACACGTTGTGTATGCCGATGATTTGGTAATAGCTGCTCATTCAGAGAAGGAGATGGAGACGCTGCTGCTGAGACTGGAGCGTGCCACTAAGAGATGGGGCCTTACCATCAGCCCCACCAAAACTAAGCACCTGCCTGGGTATTTTGTACCATCGGACACTCCACCCCCACAACTCCCAATCGGTGATGGGGCAGTTGTGGAGAGAGTTGAGTTTCCCATACCTGGGCAGTGTGCTTATGACCGGCTCCAGTTTAACAGCAGAGGTCTCACTCCGAATCAGTCGAGCGGCAATATCTTTTCATCGGTTGTGTAATGCTGTGGAAGCAACCTGGTCTGTCGCTCCGCACGAAGCTTCAGTTCTTCTCGGCCACGGTCATTCCCTCCCTTCTCTACGCTTGCGAAACGTGGACCCCCCTAATGGAACATCTTTGCCGGTTAGAAACATTTAGGCTAGCCTGCCTACGATCCATCCTGGGTTTAACCAGGCTAGATTGTGTGAGCAGCTCACAAATCTTTGAAAGATCTGGGCAAGGTCCCATCAGTGAGCTCCTCCAGCAGGCAAGGCTGCGTTGGCTGGGTCATGTAGCCCGCATGCCCAGCCACTGCATGCCGAAACAGCTTTTGTTCGGCCGGATCGAGGGGGCTAAACGGGCGCGGCACGGGCTAGAGAAGAGATGGAGTGATGTGGTACAGGAGGACGTGGAGCTGAGTGGACTTGCCGATCACTGGTACGAGCGGTGTTAAGATCGGCCTCTGTGGAGGAGGCTCGTGAAGGACGCTACTGGGCAGATGGAGGCAGTCGCCCTCCAACAACAACGGAGGGCGGAGGGGCGACGCTCACAACAACGAGCGGAGCGCCAGGTGGCTAAAGCACAGCAGGTTGGCATAGTAGGGGGCACAGGTGGTGCACCAGCCAGTCATCTCAGTCATCTTAGTCAGTCGACCCGTGGCACTTGGGTCTGCCGCGTGACCTCCTGCCGGCGGGCGTTCGACACTTCACGTGGCCTCAAGGTGCACATGGCCTGGCACAAGCGTCGTGGTGACGTCACCGCCACTTAGTGGCGAATAGCGGTTGTTGTTGTACTGTGTCCATCCCTGCGTGTGTGTGAGTGTACTGTGTCTATCCCTGCGTGTGTGTGTACTGTGTCTATCCCTGCATGTGTTTACTGTGTATATCCCTGCGTGTGTGTGTGTACTGTCTACCCTGCGTGTGTGTATGTACTGTGTCTATCCCTGCGTGTGTGTGTACTGTGTCTATCCCTGC